TAACTTTTTCCAGTTCTATTTTAACACAGTGGTTGGAAACTTTCTATATGGCAGTGGAATGATCTCCTGCTAACTATGACATGTAAAAAACCACTGGAAGCAGAATTGCTCTGCTGAACTGGAACCAGAAAACCCTATGATGGTGCTCTCTCTCGCTCTCTCTCTCTCCCTCTCTCACCCTCTCTCGGCCTCCCTCCCTCCCTCCTTTCCCAGGGCACCCATGTGAACCTCTTGATTTTCAATTTTAGAGAATTATCTCAGTTGTTTCTATTTATGTGCATGGAATAAGCATTTAAGGAGTATCAGCAAGTAATAGATAGGTGAGTGGATGGATGGATGGATGGATGGTTTGTTGGATAGATGATGGGTGGATGTATGTCTGTTAGGTAGTACACGAATAGCTGGCTGGATGGCCCATATCTGAATTGAGGAATGATAGTAGGATGGGTGGATAAATGAATGGATGGATGACAAGTAAGTAGATAGATGGATGGACAGTGGGCAGATAAATTAATGGATGGTGTGTATTTGGACAGATGGGTGCATTGTTGGATAGATGAATGGATGGTGGGTGGGTGTCTGGGTAAGTGGATGGATGGATGGCTAATGGATGATGGGTGATTGGTTGAACGGATGGGTGGGTTAGCTGAGTGCACTCGTGGTGGGTTGAATAGTGAGTGACTTTGCATTCCACGCCTCCTTTCCACCATAGTTTGTTCCACACCTAACATCACGAATGGGCTTTGAATGACATGGGTTGACGTCCTCTGGTGATGCATTCTCACATCAGGAAGAAATCTAAACACTAAGAAAATACCTTGTCCTTGCCCTGTGATCCAAACATACAGCTTCCTTCAAGGTGACATCCCGCAGTGTGCCCCCCTTTCCTGAATTCTTCTGAGGCCTCTCTGCCTGGTGTGTCTGTCCCTGCTCCTTCCCCCCCTCCCCCCGTTCTGATCTTGTTCTGTGAATTCATCCTTCAGACCCAGCCTTTCCAGGTCCTCCTCTCTGAACCACTCCTGGCCCACCCAGCCCTCTGGCCTCCTCCCATCAGTCTCCTGGTGACATCCACCCCATGGATGGCTGAGGGGAAGATGGTGTCTGAGTCACGTTCTCTCCCCTGCCTGCATGGCCCCACCCAGCCAGCTTCTGCAGTAGAGACAGAGCCACCCTGCTGAGCCCAGGCTCGCCGGGAAAGTGGACCTGTGATAAATGTTTTTGGAATTTTTGTGACAGGAGCCATCCATCAGATCTGAGTCCCTGGCCCTCCCCCTTGTCCCTGTCCTCAGCATCTCTGGGAGAGTGGGCAAGATGACAGTCAAAAGATGTCGACTCAGCACCCCGGGGTCTCTGCACCTTCCCCCGTATAATCATAGCTCGGGGCTGCAGAGAAACTGCTCTGCGCCCAGACCGAGTGCTCAGGAAGCCATCTTCATACTACACTCAGCAAGGCCTGTCTAGCAAGAGGCTGCCTCCATTTCCCTGCCCTGACTTTCCCCTATGTTCCCTAGGTTGAGGCCAGTGCTGACCTCAGTCCCCTGGCCTCTCTTCGGGGTTTCCACCCCCGCCCCCACCCACCCAGAACCATCCACCATCCTGGAGTGAGAACGGTTCAAGAACAAAAGCCCCTTTTTCAGGTGAGTCCAGGGAGAGCAAAGACACGTCCAAGGTCACCAAGTTGAGTGAGGAGCAGAACCAGAAATAGAACTCGCTACCCTGCACTCTTTCCCAGTTGTCTTTATGTTACTATAACAAAATTCTTGAAGCTGGCTCGTTTATGCACAAAAGGCCTTGGCGGATGGCATTGCATAGCGAGAGCATCCTGGGGGAGTTACATGGCAAAGGAGGGATCAAGAGTCTGGGGAGGGGCTACATTTGCTCTTCTGTAGCAACCAACTCTTTAGGAACCAATCCATCCCCATGAGACCTAATTCACTCTGAGTCCTGCACTAATCCCTTCCAGGTAATTAGTGTTTCCAGGACCCAGTTACCTTCCATTAGAGCTCACCTCATAAAAGATCCATCACTTCTTAATACTGTTACATTGGGATTCAGGCTTCTAGCATATAAATCTTGTCCAGACCAGAACTTCACCACACGCGCTGTGCTGTACAGCCGCATGAATTATCAGATGAGCCTTGAGTTCAAATCCCAGATCTGCCATAAGCTAGGAGGACAATCTCAAGCATGGTATTCCAGCTCCCTAGCAATGGTCAGCTGGTCCATCTTGAATAAGCCCCCAGGTCATGGCTAGCTCTAACTGCCTACAAAAAGATGCAAAGTGTGGTCTGGAGGTGTACTTGCACAGATCCAAACACCTTGAATTCCCAGAGCCCCATTGTCTAGCATCCACAGCTAGCATCTGAGTGTAGACATGGGTGAGCACACCAAGTGCTTCTATGAGGCTCCTTCCTTACCTGTTACCTGGGGATCCCATCCCAGGCAATCCAAGGATTAAATGACATAGAATAAGTGCATCTGTGCCAAGCACAGGACTCTGGAGACTGGACCTCTTGCTACCATATGCTGTTGGGTGCAACTTATCAGAGGAAAGCAGACATGGTGAAGTTTCCACTGAACCAGGGGTGGTTTTGGAGAAGCTGTTTAGCAAGGAAGTCCTGTATAAGGACAAATCTCTGTCTTGGCAGTAGGAAAAGGGGGCTGTCATCAAGTTATTTCTCGGCAGTCATATTTATCTTGCTGAGAAAATGGAGCCTGAGTTTGGAAACTGGAAGTGTTTCCCTCCTCATGTAAACCAGTGCCTCCTTCTACCCATTGTGGTGATCAGAAGGTTAACTTCCTAGGAGCAATGCGGGTGAAGGCCACCACCACCTGTCTGCAACTACAGGTGCCGATGCCACTTCTTACCAAGAAGCAATGAACCTGCAATCTAGGCTGGAAGAGCAAGGCTCTCATCTCCCACCTCATGCTCAAGGTGACCCCGCAGGCTGGCATGCTACGAAGAGCAGACATGCAACACACACACACACACACACACACACACACACACACACACACACCTAGGTTTGCAGTCATCATCTACTGTAATAGATCTCCAGTAGCACAAATCTTTTGACCAGGATGTGAGTGGCCAGTATATCCATTAAACACTTCAGCATCTGGGGCCATAAGAAAGGCAGTCTGGAGCCTCAGTGACAGCACAGTGTCTGGACCCGGCCCATTGTCTCTCAGTAGCATGGGCCACACACACTGATTCCTGCCCTTAGCTCTGAGCATGTCTCAGTAGTGACAGCATGGTAGATTCTGTCACACTGGATGAATGTGGCCAAAGGCTCCATTTCAGGGCCAGCTTCAAGCAGGTAAAGTCACTGCGTGGAGTGCCCTGTTAGAAAGGATGTTAAAGCTGCCTTCTGGGCCAAACAGGAAAGAGGATCGTGGTTGATTAGTAATGTCTGCTGCTAACACAGATAGGAAATGGTGGTAGATACACTATAGATTCACTAGCCAAGGACTAGATTGTCCCTAAATTGAGGTCAAACAAAGCTGATTCTCTCCCCTAGAACAAAGAGATGGAGGGGAAGCTTACCTTTCATCTGAATCTTAAAAATGGAAAACACTCTTGCTTACAGTAGCTAACAGCCAATGAAATAAAAATGAGAAGCTGGTACTTCATCCAAAACTCAAGCTGTCAGGGCTGGGAAGGTGGTTCAGTGCTAAAGCGCTTGCCTTGCATGCTTGAGGTCCTGGGTTCAATTCCTCAGCACCCATAAGGAAAAAAAAAGCCAGAAATGGCACTGTGGCTCAAGTGGTAGAGTGCTAGCCTTGAGCTGAAGAGCTGAGGGGAAGCGCCCAGGCTCAGAGTTCAGGCCCACGACCGGACCCAAAATAAAACAAAACAAAACTCAAGCTGTCATAGCCAGAGAGAGAGAGGGAGAGAGAAACCAGATACCGTATTCCTGCCTAACAGTAAAACAACCACAGAGCCAACCCAGTCCACTGAAATCCAGTCACGCAACACACATTTAATAAACACTTATTATTTAGCCTAGCACTTGCCCAGAATTGAGCAAGTCAGGGCAAAGGGCTAAAAATCTAGTGAGGTGGGCAGAGAGCCTTGCAAAAAAAAAAAAAACCATAATATGACACAATGCACAAGTAAAGAGGCAGATGTTCAGAAATGGTAAGAGATGCCGTTTGAAGAAAGCACATGGTTTGCCACGATGTATACTGGGGTAAGATCAACAAGGACCACTTCTCTCCATTAGCTTTGCATTACTATGGGGAGATGGCTGAGACTATTAACTTTGCTGTGTTTGTTTTTCAGCGGTACCGGGGTTTGAACTCAGAGCCTTGCACTTAGTAGGCAAGTGCTCTACTGCTTGTACCACACAGTTCCTTGTTCCTTCAAGTTGCTGTTCAAATGGACTTTGTGTCTTTGCCTAGCCACCCTCAGATCATGATCTTCTTCCCTATGCCTCCCATGTAGCTGGGAACACAGACAGAGAGCACTCAGCCAGGCTGGTTTGTTGAGATGGGGTCCTAACCCTCTAACATATCTGGGTCATTTATGTAGCCAACAGGATTGGTCCTTATACTCTTGCCCTTCTGTGAACCTTTTGCTCCTTCCCAACACCTTGGTAAAATCATGTTGACCTTTCAACCTGATGTCTTGGTGAAGTTGAGTCCTTGTTAATGTGAAGAGTCTTCAGGCTACAGCTCTGCCATTAATGTGTTGTGTGACCTTGGCCAACCCCATGATCTTCTCTATTCTCCCTCCTCCTCTCTGTGAGGTAGCTGGGCCCCTCGGGCAGAGGCTTCAGGGGAGAAGAAGGCCAGTCACACTTCCAAAAGCACCCGATGCAGGGAGCGGGGGCCTGTTCTCCTGGACCCTGCAGGTACAGCCAGGATAGAACCCATGGGCCAGGCTCCAGGCCGTCCTCCATGTACTCACAGATCAGTGAGGGGAGGGAGGGGAGGAGGAAGAAACATGGCGGGCCCAGCTCAGTGTCCTGTCTCTCTCTCCCTCTCTCTGTTCACAGTAGCACGATACAACCACACCAGCTATTTCTACCCCACGTTCTCAGACAGCTCGGAGCACAGCCATCTGCTCGTGTCCCCGGTGCTCGTGGCCAGTGCTGTCATCGGTGTGGTCATTACCCTCTCCTGCATCACCATCATCGTGGGCAGCATCCGTAGGGACAGGCAGGCCCGGCTCCAGCGCCACCAACACCACCACCATCGGCGCCACCACCACCATCACCGCCACCGCCGGCGTCGACACCGGGAATACGAGCCCGGCTATGGTGAGCTGAGCCCCAGACTCCCACCATACACTCTCTAGACCCAGGTGGCATCAAGGAGGTGGCAGCCCCAGATGTAGGTAGAGCAGGGAGGGAAGGAGGTGTGAGGAAAGACGTCCTAGAGGTCTATGGTTCCGGAAGAGCTCACAGGTGCCCACCACAATGTCCTTCAAGGCGATGCAGTGCCTGTGGTCCGCCAAGAGAGGGACACAGAGAGAGGCTAAGGCCAGAGGAAGAGTGTAGCTTATTCCTGAGTTGTACACCCAAGCTATTGGTCCAGGCTGCACCAATGCTGTCCCAACCGGTACCTGGAGGGAGGGAGGGAGGGTGAGAGGAAGGAAGGAAAGGAGGAAGGAGAAAAGGAAGGGATGGATGAGAGACAGAAGGATGGATGGTTGGAGGAATGAATGGATGGATGAATGGATGATGGACAGAGGGATGGATGAACAGTCAAATGGATGGCTGGGTAGATAATGGATGGATGGATGGACAGAGGGATGGATGGATGATTAAGTGGATGGCTGGCAAACAGATGGATAGATGGATGGATGGACAGAGGGATACATGGATTTTTGGATGGATGGATGGATGGTTAAGTGGGTAGGATTAGTGGGGTGGGTGGGGAACAGAAAGAGGGACAGACAGGAAGTTAGAGGTCCAGTGAGAGGAGCAAACAAACGGGTAAGAACACAGATGAGTGAGTACATGAGCGATGGCATGAATGCGCAGTGAATAAATCCACCCATGAGAGCCTGCTACGTACGTGTAAGATGACTGACGTCAGAGTCTCTTGGTTTTGAGACATCATTAAGCGAGTCAAAGCCGTCTGGGGATCAGTCCCAGGCATGTTTACATGTCCCCCAAATGCATTTTTTTAGCAGTATATGGCCTCCCAATTCTGTCTCATTCCCAGCAGAGACCCATTGTCTAAAAGCAGCAGGAAGGAAGTCAGACAATTTCACAGGCTGGAGGAAACCAGGCCCCTCCCCACACAGCCTTCCCTGGGGGTGCTGGGGTCCAGAAGCCCAGCCATCTTCCAGATATGGAGAAGAAAGCGCCGCTGAGAGTCAGCCCGAGGAGGGTGCATGCTGCAGATGATAGGAGCCCCCGGGAGCCCTCCAGTGCAGGAAGAGGCTGGAGGAAAGGAAGGAGTCAAGGGTCACTTAAATAGATTGACCTGACCACCAGGGGGCCCCCTTTCCCTCCCCTAGAGTACCCTGATGATCAGCAGGCCTGAGAAAGGCTCTCCGCTTCCATGGAGCTCAGTGGTTAGGCAGGAGCCATCTTTCGGCCATTGGAGCTAGTGGACAACCAGAGGCCTGACGGTGATGCAGATGGTGAGGTGTTCACCGGCTCCTGGACCTCTTGTGTTTCATCTCATTGTATGAAGTCCTCATCGTGGGCCTCCTCATCGTGGAGCGCCACTCCAGCTTATAGGTGGTGGGTGGGAAATGTGTGAGCCCTGGTAGCCCCACTGAATACCTCAAGCTGAACGCTGTGCAGTACTGACTGAGGGGCTGCGAGGGCTCAGCCTTGAGGGGGCTGGCACTGGGGAAGAGGCTAGTGGGCTCCTTGGACACAGGGCAGGGCCTAGTAGACATCTCAAGTCACTGGGACACATAGCTACGATGGGAGAATGGCAATTAATGGTCTGTCCTGTTCATTAATGATGAGGATTAGAAAGAAAAGCATGTAGTACACATCTGTAATCCCAGCACTTGGGAGGGTAAGGCAAGAGAATCAGGCATTTGAAGCTAATCAAACCCTGTCTCAAAAGAGAGAGGGGAGAGAGGAGAAAGGAAGGAAGGAAGGAAGGAAGGAAGGAAGGAAGGAAGGAAGGAAGGAAGGAAGGAAGGAAGGAAGGAAGGA